GTGGCAGCAAAATTGTTATACAAACTATGAAAATAAACTAATTAATTAAGGATATTTAAAAAAGATTTTATTAACGAATAAAGGGGAATTAGTTATCTAGATTGAATGAGAGACCTTATAGCGAAAAATTTACTTTGCATATATTATATATGATATGATTTTAATTTTTTTTTGATTAAATTTCAATTTTTAAATTTTCGTTATTTTCTATTTTAAATATTTTTTAATTAAATTTCGATTTTTCATATTTTTTATTAAATTTAAATGTTTTTGATTAAATTTCGATTTTTAACAATTTTTTATTAATTTACGATTTTTAATATTTTATTTAATTTACGATTTTTAATAATTTTTAAATTAATTTATGATTTTTAATAATTTTTATTAAATTTAATTTTAAAAAGTATAAGGAAGGGTAAAAAGTAATTATCTATCCTAAAAATGAATGAGAGAGCTTTAACTCAAAATTTTACTTTGCTTATAATATATATGATGATTTGCTTATAATATATATGATGATATGTATTGTAGTAAAAAAAAAAAGAAAAGACAATTTTTTCATCGTACAAAATTGAATGCTTGTTGAATCTAAAAGTCCAAATTTAAGACGGCAGAAACGACTTTTCATATATTCCTCCATTTATCTTTTCATTTTTTCTCCCTTTTATTTACTATTTTTTATAACTATGAATAATCCAAGTTTTACTATTAACTAAATTTTATAAGGTAAGTTTAACAGTCGAATAATCCATTTATTAGATTTAAAATTTAAAATGGATCTAGTAAAATAGATATCTCTTTGCTCTTCAGCCAGTAAGTCGAACGTAACACTATTTTAAATAACTAAATAAAATGGTTCAATAGTTTCATAATAGAAGAGAATCAAATCCTATTCTAAACCACCAAAATAATTGTTCAATAAGTAAAAATTACTAGCCTACTACCATTTGTTTTTTTTTTTTACTATTTTGTTTTGTTATTTGAGTAAGTATTTATCAAATGGATTATTTCAAATACTGTAAATTTTGTTTCAATATAACCAACACTATGCAACACAAAACAGAATTAGAGTAATTAAGTACTTGTCGACAAAAACAAAAAGAGTAGTTAAGTACTTAACTGCTGAAGTTTATAAGTTAAGCTATTTAAAAATAAACAGTATGTATGAATAATATCTTCTTAGATTTAGCGTCAGATTCATCAAATAGTTCCAAATTTCTGATAATGGAAAAGATGTCGTCAGAAAAATGAAGACGACAATAATGGAAAAAAATCTAAAGTAAAAAGACATCAAAAGAATCCAAATTTGTCATGAACTCTATTTTCTTCGATGACCCTCTACCATTAAATTGCAGTTGCGTCTTTACGTCCGAAACAAAATCCAACTAATGTACGTATTATTTCTACCACGCTATCTTAATAGTTAAGGCTAGGAATATATATATACGATAATAAGTTTTTTCAATCGAGTTCTCTGGAAGAATTAGGTAAATCATATTTTATAAAGTACGTAAACTTAAATAGCTAATACTAATAGACTCACATATCACTCCTAAATTTTATTCGGGTGGATCTAAGACGAATTTGATAAGGCCTAACCACAATGTGATTTGTCATGAAACGTGGATAGTTCGGCATAAGTGATATTCTTTTTCTTCTCACTGACATAACAAAAAGTTCGGCGTGTAATTTACGTAGACTAGGATGTGGATGGTATACAATTAATCTGACTAATTAAAAGATCCAAGAACATTAATATAATCATGTTTTATTTATATAGGACCAATTAGTAATCAATTTCTTTTTCAACCAAACTCAAGGGACAATAAATTAGCGCCATATATATGAATTGACATCCAAATTCACAGCCATTTCAAATCTTATATATATACTATCTATAAGAAAAGGTAGCTCAACTTAAGTATCCAAAAAGTTGGTTATTAATTGAATGCATATGTTTAGATACTACCGACAAAGAAAGCAAGGAAATTGATGCCGAATATTATGCAATATTAGGCGGATAGCTATAAAACGCAATAAACACAAAACGTTAGCCGAACATAAGACGATTCTAATTTACATCATCATTTCAGTGATCGAGGAGTACTTGATCATGGTTCAATATCCGAAACCGAACATCATATTTAATTAGGAAAAATTGGTGTGCTAGGTATGGAACAAAAACTAATTTATGTTAAAAAATGATTTCCAATATATTAGTAAGTCGATTAATAGTTGATCAATTTGGATACAATTTTTTTTTATAATCAAATTTTTGTATATATAGAATGAAAAAATGCCTCTTGTCTTTTGTTTTGACTTGAAAAAAATTGTATAAAGGGTGAATTGTTTTCAGGTGTCTCTTTTGGATTGGTTAAGATAGAAAATATCTACTACTAACGTTGAACATCTTTAAACCATTGACTAGCTTTGAATTCATATTTCAATATGTATCGCTCTAATTTTTTTTGCTTTTTTAACATCTATCTTTTTGGTTTTGTCAACTGTTAACATCTTATCTATATTTATGTGAAATCCAAAGTTCTCATAAAAGGTAAATAGAGTATATGAGAAAACAAAAAAAAAAAAGACAAAATTGAATTTCTCCACACCTCTCTTATATACGATAGTATCATCACGATTTTTTGATAACTCACACCACAATATCTCCGAAAGAATAAAATGGATTCATCACTTGACGTCATCGAAGTGTCACGAGTCACTCCTTCTGACTCGTCCGAGTCACTCACTCTCCCGCTCACTTTCTTCGACCTTCTCTGGTACAAACTCCACCCCGTCCAACGAGTCATCTTCTACCGACTCACCGACGCAACTCGTCCTTTCTTCGACTCAGTCATCGTCCCCAATCTCAAATCCTCTCTCTCCTCAACTCTCTCTCACTACCTCCCACTCGCTGGCCAACTCGTCTGGGACTCGCTCGAACAAAAGCCGAGCATCGTCTACACTCCAAACGACGCCGTTTCATTCACCATCGCCGAGTCCAACGCCGATTTCTCTAGTTTCACCGGAAACAAACCGTTTCCCGCCACCGAGTTGTACCCATTAGCCCCCGAGTTAACCATCTCCGATGACTCGGCCACCGCCGTGTCGTTCCAAGCCACGCTATTTCCAAACCAAGGGTTTTGCATCGGCGTAACTGCACACCATGCCGTTTTAGATGGAAAAACGACAACCAACTTTCTCAAATCCTGGGCCCACACATGCAAACGGCAACAAGAGGAAACGCCGAACGTTTCTCTACCGCAGGATCTAATCCCGATTTATGATCGTACGGTCGTCAAAGGTCCAAAAGATATCGATATGAAGATTCTGAACCAGTGGCACACAGTGATAACATTCTTCTCCGGAGGCAAAGAACCAGAAAACCCCAAAAGCTTAAAACTTTTTCCGTCGCCGGCGATTAATCCCGACGTTGCTCGATTCACTCTCGATCTCACACTAGAAGACATCCAATCGCTTCGCGAGCGACTCAAGAGAGAATCCTCTGCACCGTCGTCGTCATCGAAGGAGCTTCGATTGTCGACGTTTGTGGTCACGTACTCGTACGTGTTATCCTGCTTAATCAGAGCTCGAGGCGGAGATCCGAATAGACCGGTCGGGTACGGGTTTGCGGTGGATTGTCGGAGCCTCTTGGATCCGCCGATTCCGGTGAATTACTTCGGTAATTGCGTTTCGGCGACGTTTAATATGTCGTTAGCGGCGAAGACGTTTTTCGGAGAAGAAGGGTTTTTGGCGGCGGCGAGGATGGTTAGCGATTCGGTCGAGGGGTTAGATGAATCTGTGGCGTTTAACATTCCGGACGTTTTGGCAGCGTTTACGACGATTCCACCTGGATCGCAGGTTCTTTCTGTTGCCGGGTCGACCCGGTTTGGAGTTTACGGGTTGGATTTCGGGTGGGGGAGACCGGAGAGAGTGGTGGTTGTGTCGATCGATCGAGGCGAAGCGATTTCTATGGCGGAGAGTAGAGATGGAAATGGCGGTGTGGAGATTGGCTTCTCACTCAAGAAACACGAAATGGAGGCTTTGATTGATTTGCTTCATGGCGGATTAAAAAATTAAATCTTTTTTTCTTTTTTTTTCATTAAAGATGAAATCACTTTACCGGTTAAATCAACGTATGAGCTTTGTTTAATTTATTGTAGACGTAAAAAAAAAAGATTATTTGAGAAGTAATAAACAAAAACAACAACGAATTAATCAAGCTATAATTTCCCCGCTCATCTATTTAAAAAAATTCCCATTGGTTGGTATGAATGTTAACCGAGGCATTTTTTGGAAGAAGATGGTTTTGTCGACGCAGTTAAGATCCGAAGCGATTCGGTAAAAATTTGGGTTCGAGAGGGATAGAGTCACTATGCAAGGACTATGTAAAGGGGATGAAGAATAAGAAACAGGGTTAACAATTCAGAACGGTTACAGGCTCGACTTTGGACAGGATGATGGACTGGTATTTGAAAATCCTGTGTTGAAGATGCTCGTGCAGAGTCCTCTTGTCGACGAGCTGGTGAGCGTCGAGAGGCATGTTTGCGTCGAAGTCATAGTATTGATTTTCCGAATTTGAGGAAGCTAAGGCGTTTGCCATCATATGAACTTCTTTAGGAGGGTTTCTACTGAGCATGTCAGCAAGAGTGTTCTTCGCACCCTTTAAATAAAAGGATTCGAAGTCGTACTTCGAAAACCATTCGCTCCAGCGCAATAATTGTTGATGTGGGACCATCTTCTGCTTGAATTGTAACATCTTTGGAAAAGAAAACATATCCATTTCGATGCGAAATTTATGTCCTATCAGATGAAACTCGAATTTCTCGATAGCCTTTTTGACCGCTAGGATTTCTTTGAATGTAGAGTGATAATGCATCTCGGAATCTTTAAAGCGTCCGCTCTTGTATCCACAGATTTGACGTTTACCATTTATTTCTTCGAATAAAATGGCTCCCCAATATTTGTCACTTGCGTCAGTCTGCAGTATTCGTAGGCCTGTAGAGGGAATCTTTAAAGGTGGTAGCTTCTGTATCTCCTTTTTTAGGCTTTTGACTGCTTCGGTTTGTTTGGTAGCCCACGTGGGTGGATTCTTTGTCAACATCTTCTGGAGTGGTCTAGTCATTTGCGAAAGCTGCGGAATAAAGTCGCTGATGTAATTAATTACCCCAAGGAATTGTTGGATTTGTCTCCGCGTGAGATTTTCGTCGGGAAAATCGAGGAGTGCTGTAGCTAAATGGGCTTGTGGTGTGAATTTTCCTTCTGTGATTTGCATTCCAAGGAAGTCGA